ATGTACCCTGAGTCTGCAATCCTTGGCTTGGGGCCTGCTTGGGAGTTTGGGAACCGCTTACTGAGCCTGTCGGACTGCTTTGGGTTCAGAGTCTCGGCTGAGCTTCACCCTGCGTCAACTTTTGGGTGGTTGTCAAAATGATGGTCCCTTTTTGGGTCCTTATTATAATACGGCACCTATTATTTAGGGTACCCCCAAAGGGACCATAATTTTGACAACTACCCATATAGGCAGGCATGGACAGCATCTCTCTTTCTAAGAAAGAGTGTTCTGTGATATCCCGGCTGTACTTTTTTCCGGTCCTGGGGACAACAGCAACTTCTGTGACTGTGCTCCTCCTCAGAAGCAGTCGTGTCTTAGTGCTTGCCAATTCCGATGCTTACCGTGTATAGCGGAGATGTTGGGAGCTTTTGGGAAGAGTCTTTTGATGCTTCGCCCTATTGCGACGAAGCAGAGAAGCGCCAGTTGTTCTCGGAAGAGGCCTGCGCCGCGGCAGCGTGCAAGGTCCAGCTTCTCCAGCGAATCCATCGCCTCAAAGGAAGGCAGCCGGGTGGTTTCTCCAGCGCTCTCTGATTCAGAGCGGGCCACCGGTCGACCGAACAGCTTCTGCAAAAAGGTGTTGAGAACAGCATCGCTGAGCCTCACAATGCTCCGGGCAGGAGTGAAGTACCCAAAGGCAGAACAGTCTCCAAAGTGATTTCTAAAGTGATTTATGTTTGCCAAAGGGCTGGGTGCTTCCCGCCAGGCCTACTTCTTTGATTCTGTCCAGATAGCCTCGCTTTGGCGACAGAGCTTCTGTGTCGGCTCCACAGATGCATACAAAGGCTTATCTGCGAAACAGGGACGGATCATTGTCGACATGGCCAGCAGCCTCGGATCCAGGTGGCGAACACCTTGCACCGATCGAGCTTTGTGCAGCCGGGTCACTCATCATCTAGCAAGAATTCGCTTCCGCTGCTGATGGCATGGCTGCGCACCATGTCCTGCAAGTGGAACTCGCTGGACAACAATGGCGACAAGACATGCCTGAAATCTTCGGGCATGATGTGAGCCAACGTAGCAGGACGACAACTGCAACAAAAAAGGACTTGGCAATGCCACGATCCAGCACCGCAGCGGTAGGCACAACGCCGGTTGCATTGCAAACCTCAGATCTCAGAAGGCTTCCTCAAAGGCATCCTTCGATCGTCTGAGCGTCAGTGTGCATCATCCTGCTGCCAGCCTACGCGGATGTAGTGCATCGTGGCAGAATCTTCCTCTGCTTCGGGCTCTCGCGTTCCAGTCTGCGTGCGAACCTGAGCTGCGCTAAACCCTGAACCCTAAACCCTAAACCCTAAACCCTAAACCCTGACCACACGTCTCAAGCGTGGAAAGCGAGGATGCCTCGGACTGCCAAGGCTGCATGAAGGGCTCTGCCACTGCCTGAGACGACGAACGGAAGCTCCCTACTTGGAGGATGATGGGACTTAGTAAGTATGATTATAATAAGTGGAGGTTCATGGGTAGTTATAAGGAGGGTTATAAGTCCCCTAATATGGGTTATAATTATAGTTAGCTTACTTATAACTCCACTTATAACTACCCATGAACCTCCAAGTACCCAGAGAGCCCAACACCCCTTAATTAAGGAATATACCTTAAACCATAGCAGTAGGACCCCCATAACTTAAGGTATATTCCCAGAGAGCCCAACACCCCTTAAGTAAGGAATAGACTTTAAACCATAGCATATAGGGCCCCCCATAATTTAAGGTCTACTTCCTTATTAAGGGGTATTGGGTTCTCGGGGTAGTGGCGATCCGAAACATCTGCCTCGACCCTAAACCCTAAACCCTAAACCCTAAACCCTAAACCCTAAACCCTAAACCCTAAACCGATCCGACAGACGATGCCTCGAGGGAGAAGGGCGGCATTCTCAGCGCTGGCCGGGCGAGGTCTGGGAGTGACCTGCAGAAGAGCACCGAACCACCGTTTGGGGTTTAGGATACAGTTTTAGGGTTTAGGGGTTCAGGGTTTAAGGTTTAGGGTTTAAGGGTTTCGGGGTTTAGGGTTTAGGGTTCAGGGTTTAGGGTTGCGGCTTGACAGCACCGGTGACGGTGAACGATTCTCGTCTCATTAGACCCAGATGAAGTGGAAGGTTCCCGAAGCAGCTCTTCTGTTGCACGAAGCGCGACACCTTCGGGAAAGTGTATAATTGCGGGAGAAGGATGTCTGCAGTTCTGAGCTTCATGTGCGGGGCTGCGAGAGACAGTGTGCACTACTACACGTAATGAACCTGTCCCGAGCTAGTAGATCGCAGAGGATCGGGCTGACCGATAGCGGGTCTTTGGGCAACTTGGCATCCACTCCCTTTTCGTAGAATATGTTGTCAAATCTTCCCGATCTCCGCACCTGGATACGCTCATGGCAGAATCCTCTGAAGGCAAGATCACGGCCAACAGATCTGGCACCAGTACAAGTGCAGCTGTCCACTAGTGGCATTTCACACCAACCCTGTCCTCCAGCACAGGCGTCATGACGCTCCGTCGCGGCTTGGCCTCTGCGTTTGGATTCCACCAGCTGGAGCCCGAAGAGGTCCTGGACAGGTTTCAATGTCCAGAAGCTTCAACAAATGGGTGGTTGTCAAAATTAAGGTCCCTTTTTGGGTACCCCAAATATTAGGTGCCGTATTATATTACAGACCCAAAAAAAGGACCACAATTTTAACAACCACCCAAATGCAACGGCTGCAGTGCGGCTGTTCTTCTTACTGCTGCTGCTTATTCTTCCTCTCAGCACACCGTCATCATGGTCAGCGTCGTCACCATCATCAGGATCATCATCACCCTCACCATCATAATCATCATCAGCAGCAGCATGATTGTCCTCACGACTATGGTTGCCGCAACAACGACTACGGCGAGGACGATACGACAACGACAACGACAGCCACACCAACATCAACACAAGCACCAGCAGCAGCAGCAGCAGCAGCAGCAGCAGCAGCGGCGGCGGCGGCGGCGGCAGCAGCAGCAACAGCAACACCAACATAATAGTGAACATAGAAACATACGTTACCCTCTTCCGTATCCTCGCCGTCATCATCATCGTCATCACGACCATCATCATCATCATCATCAGCAGCAGCAGCATGAGCATCAGCATCAGCATCACCATCACCATCACAGTCATCATCGTCATCATCACCATCATCATCATCATTATCACCATCACCATCACCACCATCATCATCATCATCATTGCCTTCGTCATAATGATCTCCCTCATCCCCCTCGTCAACGGTATCGTCTTCGCCCTCATCCCCCTCGTAAACTTGATCGTAGAAAGTGATTTGATGTGGTAAGGGCATCAGAGGCAACGAACGCTCTTGCGCTACAGTTCATCACCAAAGAGCAATAACAAGCACTCCCGACGGCCCAGGTATGGATGCTCGGCTGCAGTTCGGCAGATGATCGCCTGCCCAAGCCGTCATATTCCAATCCTCGTGTGCCATCGACATGTCCCCTACTGGTTTTAAGACATCCAGTCATGGTGCCCCTCAGCCCAAATCCAAGGAATCGTCTTTCCAGCCAGAGCTGGCCTCAAACCTGGCACGCGATACCAGGCACTGGTACATCGGTAGCAAGGCACACCGACTTCTTGAAAATTCACATCGCCTCTTCCCGTTGCAGATGGTGATGATGACCGAGTTGCAGCGCGGCATCTCTGCGGAGCATGTCACCAGGTTGATATTACTCACAGATCTTTTGAGACGTGGCCAGTCACGTTCAGGAAAGGATGCCGAATCCCCTGTCGAGCCGACCCTGAGGATTGGATGATCCTCTCGGACACGGTGCCGCTGCCGGCTATTGCGCCACAGGAGACTCGAGACACGAGAGTCTTGTCTGCTTCAGCTACATGTTTTGTGCATGCACGGTGGATCTGTAAGCCCAGATTTCTGCAATAGCAACTGGCTGCTTGCTCAAAGCGGCTTTGTGTGACGGAGCTTCGTAGTTACCAGAGATGAAGCCGAGATCCACAATCCTTTGGTGATCTTGGACCTCTTCCCAGCTTGCGGGCATGCCAGGAGGCTCTGATTCCATACAGTCTATTGACCTTGAGTGCCTGTTGGAGCGAGTTCTCTGAAGTGCAATGACAAGCGCATCGCTTACCCACAGTCTCATGGTGTGTTAGACGTATCCGGCATCTAGAAGAAGGCCTTTGTTGTTGCCAAGCCTAAACTCCTAAATTCTATCACCGCAAGAAGCTGAGAGGCTTGCGCACTGGTTCTGCAATGCGACATGGATGGCAGTTGAGCATTGTTCCAAGCATAAGAGCTCTATTTGGTCCCGTACAGCCGACAGGTTCCTACTGTCAGTACTGTCTTCTTCGAATTTGGAGTTCCCTTTGACTTGAGGTATCCGATCAACAGAAGCCCTAAGTTGGAGCATGTCGGAGCTTAACACAAGACTGCCCTTGAAAGGGTCCTGGGTTTGGAACAACACCCAAGTCTAGGATGTGCAGTGGGAGGAATCCGCAGGATTGCAATGCTGCATCATTCGCTGTGAATGTGAAGAGACTGACGTACGGTGGGATCACTCCGGAGCATGGGCGGATAGCGTGCAGATTGAGGCAATGCGGCCGTTTATCGCCTATCCTCGGACCAACACTGCCTCATCGCCGACTTCTCTCAGCGCTCCGATCCCTTCGCCACTCAAGGATCAGAAGGCAATTTCACTCTGTTCCTGGCAGAGCCTTGGCATGAACAAGTGCCTCATGCCGTGATCGTGTCCCTGATCTTAGATCTTGAAGTGCAGTCCTCGCGTGTGACGTTGGCAGGGCTGCGTGTCCACGGTGGCTTCTGAGGACAGAATTAATGGCACAGCTTCAGATTCGCGAAGCGTGGTGGCAGACTTGTGGAGCATGGACGACATGCTTTCGAGGCTTGCCGATACTCAGCACTCTATCTTCCACACCATCCTCTATCATGTCAAGGTATATTCTTTCCCAGTTAGTCTGCGACTGTTCAGAGCCCCCTGTAACTGTGGTTTTGTGTTCTGCATGTGGCTTGTGAGCCGGTATGACATACACGTGTTGCTACATAGGTAGGTGGGACTTAGGTAGGATTAGGTAATTAGGGAGGCAGGGAGGTAGGTAGGTAGATAGATAGGTAGGTAGGTTTGTTGTATGCAGCATGCATGTATTGCATTGTATGGCATGGCATAGCAGGGTATGGTATTGTAGTGTACTGTAGTTTACTATGCTGTGTTGCAGTATTGTCAGGCGAGCATGTAGGTAGGTCGGCACGTATGTCTGTATATGTCGATGCAGCGATGTATCTATGTATCTGTGCGTGAACGTGTGTATGTGTCCATGTGAGCGCGTATGCATCCGTGTATATGTATAGTGCACCTGCGCAGACACGCCCACAACCCTGGACACACCAAGCACACACGCGCGCGAAGCGAACCATGATCGCCACACAGCTGCCGCGGCGGCAGCAACCCCAATCACAGCAACAACAACAAAAAGCAACGGCGGCAACGGCAACAGCAACCCCAACCCCAACAGCAACGGCAACAGCGACTGCAACAACAGCAACAGCAACAGCAGTAGCAAAAACCCAGAACAACAACAACAACAACAAGAACAACAACAACAACAACAACAAGAGCACCACCACCACCACCACCACCACCAACAACAACAACAACAACAACAACAACATTGCAGGCCTTTCCATGCAGTGGACGCCTCCGAGACCGTCCTGGCTGCGCGAGCCGCAGCAGCCGTGCTGCCGAGCCACCCGACAGAACTATTTTCCGAGTACGCTGCGTCAGGGTCTACGGGATAGTGTGTGGAACACTAAACAGTTTCTCGGCTTCGTGCACTCTCAGCTGGATGCTCTGATGACCCCCATGTTTCTGCGATGCGGAGGTGCGAGCTTGTCGTTTCATGCACAAAGATCGACTTGTGCTCCAAGCTGACTGAGAGAGCAGAGTTGATTTGACTGCGAGGTGATCCTCGCTGGCACAGCGAGGGCCTGAGACTTGGCCGAAAGATATGTCGGAGGGATACACGATTTCTGCCCCAAGACTGAACCGATCCGAGCTTTTCTGCTTGCATTCCTTCCCAATGCATGAGTTGAACGAGTTGAACTCGAAACTGCTGTAGTCTGCTGTAGCCTGCAGCCGAGGATGGTTCTTGATCCTGACGGCTTTGCACCACGGCCATGAACTAGACATGTTCACCTGATGTAGCTGAGAGGGCTTTCTTTGGTCTCGGAGTCCGGTGCAAGACGCCGCAAGTCCAAAAGCAAAGATCCCACGGGGCTCCTGTCCTCGGATCCTGATCATGAGACGACACTGTGAACTCGGCCCAGACACTCTTAGCCCGAAGCTCTGAAGTCCCAAAAGCTCGAACCCCAAACCTTGCAGGTCACCGAGGAGGCGGCGCCCTTGCTACTGACACAACCCCGCCTGGCGCTGCGGCTCCGGGCCGCGCAGGGCAGCAGTATCGAGGCCCTCACGCCACGGCTGTAGTTAGTATGATGCCTATTCACAATGCCACGGCTTGGAACTGCTAGTATGTCGCTGTGTCTGTTTGGAAGTTTGGGGTATTAGTACGCACTTCATGTTGACAGCTTTGCACTTTCTTCTGTATCCAGGAACTGTTGCCGAGGCCGCTACTTTACTCCGCCTCTTCCTTCGGCCTCTGACGCAGTGGGCGCTGCCGGAGGAGGGTTGTCCTGCGCAGTGCGCACGGCCCTCGGTCCCTACGAGATATCGAGATGCAGGGACTTAGTGTGCCTGTCAGTTCGGGGACGTTGAGAATGTTTGCCATTGCATTCGGCGCTTGAGCTGGTGGGTGGGTGTGCTGTGCCTTCTAGATCAGTCTTGATCATAAATATGATGGTGTAGCTTGGTGGACTGATGTCATCACACTGCATGTTGACTTCGGCCAGGCCACGAGAATGCACGCATTCCGCAGTCATGTCTGTACTGCAAGTTCATGGTGAGGATTGAAGGCGATTTGACCATACTTGCCTTCTTGCCCGGAGAGACTCAAATCGAAGGCCCGAGCTTGAGAAACGCAGTCGAATACGTTGCTGCAATGTCTTTCTGTTTAGAAGCTGACTCGGACGAAAGGTCACGAATCCCAGCTTGATGCGCACAGTGTGTAGGCATGCATCCGCTGCGACTGGAAATGGCATTTGCAGATAGGAGCATAGCAAAACTCAGAAGATCGCTGCCGCCGCTTGCTTGGCCTCCATGCCGGCTGAAGATGATGAGCTATGGCCCGCTTAGCTAAGGCCGCGGTGGAGGGGTGGGCTTGATACGGTTGAAGTGATACGTAGATGTGGAATGCAAATGCTGCTTGAAAAACGCCCCTCAGTGAGTAGACTCGGGCTGTTTCAGTCCTCGTCGATCCTCAGCCCAGCCGAACAGCCTATCATGCTGCCCTTCAGTAATTAGCAGGTGGCCTGTCTCCTGTGGCCGGTTCTAGCCGATGTGTTCCTTGGCAGCAAGCGAATCCGAAATTCCGAGCCGGCCTCGTACATTTCGTTAGTTTATTCCTGTCAGAGCAGTGTTCGGTTGAGACGACGGCTGCTGCCTCGTTCACGATGGAGGGTTGGCAAGGGGCCGCATCCTGTGACAACCGCGAAACTGCAGATCCAAGGCCCGTTCCTTTCTTTGGTCCAGCGCCACCCGGGACAGCCTCCCAAAGCGGCTGCGAGGAGTTGGGTTGGGGCTGGATTTTGGGGGTATATGCGTACGGCCATCAGTTCAGTCTTTCCGCTCAACCTCAGGACCTGATCCAGGCGGGCCCCTGCTACTCAGATCACCTGAGCTGTGCCCGTTGCGCTCTGTCGGTCCGCAACTTACGGGATTCGCGTTCGAGCGATCCAGCGGCCTGCCAGGATTGCGTCGCACTTGGACGACAGCTTTTCGATATTGCTGGCCGCTAGCTTAAAGCACTTCCCTAGATGTGTTGAGAAGGGCAAGTGAAGTCAACCGAAGCCTTCAATTGGCCACCATGTTGCAAGCGCGTACGGGTTTGGAAAGTCTGTGTGTGTGTGTGGGGGCCAACGCAAGGTCGCTGTCATTATCCTGCTGCAGAGCTCTGTTGCCAGCTGAGTTTGCAGTTAAGCCGGTCTGCAGCACAGGACAGCGCATGTCGCGAATCAGTGGACTGTGGCAGCATCCAGGGGTCGCTACTGAGGTATGAGGCGCGGGCCTCAATTTCCTCAGTTTGCTGCCGGCATGTGATCTCTTCAGACTTGGGCCGCCCTGGACGAGCCAACACTGCAATGCACTGTGATGTGCTGTTGAACGTCCTCTCGCTCTCTCTCGCTCTTGTAGTTCGTTCCCCTCTCTCTCTCTCTCTGTCTCTCTCTGTCTCTCTCTGTCTCTCTCCCTCTCTCTCCCCCCTCCCTCGCTCGCTTTTCGCCCCTGAAGATTCCGAGGACCTGCGGCCTCTGTTTTCGAGTTCGAGCGGCGCAGCGCTGCGCCGTGCTTCAGGCCGGCACAACTGGTTTCCCACAGGTCCCACGCTTGCACTGGAGATCTCCTTGCGGGCCCATCCCATGAACCGTTACGGCTCTGGTGTTGCAGTTTGGGATAGTTTGGGATCCATCGCTGTGCATCCCACGAGCTCTTGCAGGTGGATGGCGGACGCTTTCAGGCGACCCGCCTGAGAGGGAGTGTGGCCACAGCAGCACTCACGGCGCCTGAAAGTCCAGTCCTGTTGTACTACGCCTGCATTACGCCGTCTCATGGAATACCAAAATCAACGGCCATGTGTTGGCCCGGACACGGACCTGAAGCCCTTGAACGTTTCGGGGTCAAGGCAATCAAGCGTCGGCAAAACCTTCGGGCGGCCAAGTAGTGCTTGAACTTGAACCGTGGAGGGTTCAGGTTTCGATTGGGAGTGCTCTCTGGCTGCATGTTCGCTAGGCGCAGCGCATCGACTGGGCGCCACAGCTGCAGTGAAGAGCACATTGGACATGATCGCGGTGGGAAGGTCGAAGGTTCGCTTTGCAAGCCTGGGAGCATGCCATCAACCACGAGTAGGTTTCGAGTTTGGGTCATCCACGCTGCTCGATACAATCCGAGAGAGACAACAGCGGCCGGGACAAGGGGATGTCTGTGCTGCTGTCCGGCACGCCAGCGTCAGAGTCGCAACTGACACCTGCGGTGACAGAAGCCTTCAAGTGTCACCCAAAGGGTCTAAGTACTTATATGGTAGATACTTTGGGGCCCAGAATATCTACTATATGGGTACTTCGTCTTAGACCCTTTGGGTCAATGCCCCCCAGAAATTCAGGCAGAATTTCTCGGGGCCGCGGTGGAGAGTGTGAGGAACCGACTGCCGGGGGCGAGGCTGGGCAGAAGAGTCGGGAGCTGAGGCCATAAGCCTATAGGTTTCAGGTTCTCGGGGCGCGAGCAGGAAGGAGTTGCAAAAAACAAGCGGATATCTCGTCTCCCCTTACCCAGGATCTAATCGAAGGAATGATGGGAATGATAGATCCCTCCGGCAACTTCCCCTGAAGCCTCGGACACCGCAGACAGGATGATAAGCACCGACAGCCCCGTGCTTGCGGAGTTCCCGGGCTTCTTCACTGCCGAAGAGGTGCCGCAGCTTCCGCGATCCTTGCTAGCAACGCAAGATACCTTAAGAACCCAAAACCTACTTTTTTGTAGGGTCCCTATAAATCGCATTATAGTAAGAACCTACAAAAAAGTGGGTTTTGGGTTCTTAAGGTAGTCTTACGTGTTGCCGAAGTGCCTTGCTTGAGCAGGCGCAAGCGCTGGCTGATGTGGGCTTTGCTGCGGGGTTCCTGCAGGAGGAGAGCCCCTGCTTGCTTGATGAATGATGGAACGGGTAGAGGTATGCAGAGATTACGGCCGTGCCGATGCAGAGAGATCCCAAAGTTTCGCAACGAGCCTTGGAAGAGGAACGGTTCCTTCGTGAGTAGACACTGACAGCCAGAGAGAGAGAGAGATAAACAGCTAGGCAGGCGGTTGGGCAGACAGACAGGCCGAATGCATGCAGTGTTTCAGGACGATCTGCCGCGGCTCGACGTGCATTGATGTGATGCCTTTCACGTCGAGATTCCTCGTTGAGTGGGCATCGAACGGGCTCTGATTGCCAGGCCAAGCGAACGGGATGTGAAGAAGATAGACTGCGAACATCGCCCCCTGTCTTTACCAATCAGAGCTTTGATGCCTAATGTTGACCGCACCCCCTCCCCCCTTGTCTGGCGGTGCTTAGGCATCTGTCTTCTGAACCCACTGGTCCAGGAGGTGTACCGACGCGTCTCAGACCTTCTAGGCCAGGAGACATCCGAAATCAGGTTTGGAGGATGGCCAGACAATGACAACTAGTAAGATTGCATTGTGCAAGAGGCTGTAACATTGGCGTGCGCATGCATGAATACACATCCGTGCATCCATCATCAGGCACCCCATCGATGTTGCTGGATCAAGCTGGTTACAGCATGTCGGTATGATGCTAGAATGGTGATGATGCTTCATGGAGATGGAGATGACAATAGTGGTAGTCCTGGCGGGGTGATGGGGGCAGTGTGGTGGTTTCACTCGGTGACTCGGTTTCGAGCCTTCGATCAGATTTATTGAGTGTTCTTGGGGCAATTTACTTGGCAGCGTCAACACTGCTCAGATGAATCGAGTAATTCGGGATGGTGCAATTGTCAGCACTTGTTGCCGTCATACTTGCAAGAGCTGATCACAGTGAGACGTATCGTCCCTGTGCGTCGTTTCATTCGATGCCCGTTCTCAGGCATCCCACCTTGGAACTTCGAATCCATGGAGTCACCTGGCCATAATCCGTGTGCGAGATTTGAAAGGAGCTACTTGAGTGGAGGTGCCCCGGCTGTAGTGCATCTCTGGCTAGGTTCAGGGTTGATGGGTTTAGGTTTAGGGCCTACCTATATCTCGTCCAGTCTCCAGTTTCGTGCTGTTTGGTTTTATGTTCGGTTGAGTTCGTAAATAAGGATGCCTGTGTGCCTGAGGTTCTTGCTTTACCGCGAAGGCCGAGATCTCAGCAATAGGGTGCAGCTTCTGCTGTTCCGAATGGTTCGTCTTCCGACATGTGCACGAGCACGAGCAGCACTGGAGAGTCAAAAATGTCCAGAGGCCAGCACTACCGGAGTCACATGGACGACGATAACTGGGGCGAGATGCCCGCCCTCAGTGCAGGACATTCCACAGTAGACCAAACGCCCCATCCGCAAATGCACGGAGACGATCCCAGAAGTTCCGTTGAAACGATCCTTGAAAGCTTCGTTCCTTCGCTCACTGCGCTGCGAGGACTGCGCGTCCTCACGGTGCTCTTCGTTTTCGCCGAGGTGCGTGGGCGTGAAGCGGATGCGAATCTGGGGCAGACCGTTCGTAAGATCGTTGCTAAGCACAGCGATGTTATGGTTTACATGCACGTCCTGGCTGCAGGCGACGGAGGGAGGACGCTTGCCTGCATGTTGTGCTTGAAACTGCTCAGGGAATGCCCGGGGAGACGACTTCCTAGATCCTATAGTGACCTGTGGCGGAGTTTCGGCGCGGGGCGTTCGCTCTCCGAAGGCGAAACACGCTTCACGGAGGCAAATCTCGCCCTCAAGCCAGCAGCAGGCAGGAGCTGCTTACAGGTAGTGCCAGGCAGGCTGAGAACGCGGCACCTTGTTAATTGAACTCTCTTCGCATGCATCTTGGGTTTTTCATGGTTTTTGCTACATCTCTCCAGGCACCGCAATTATTTGGGCCAACGTTGCCTCGAACATTTGGCCGCCCGGCTTGGCAAGAGATCGTAAGTTCGGCCTCCCAGTAGTTGATCTGTCAACATGTGCCGGAGTAACACCCAGAAGACGGAAAGGATGGACCTGATGGTTATGATTTATGCCATAATTTATGCTGTTGTACTGGTACAGAGACTATCAGTTGTCAATCCCAAAGTATGCTGTGCCTAGTGATGGTGTCTAGGCATACTTCCTGAATACTACTAAGGCATTACCGAGGCATCAGGAGACTTCCTGTGAATTCGACAGAGCAAACATCTCAGAGCTTTGCCGCATCCCGAGGGAGGTGGACCCCTTTTCCATGCACCGGGCGATGCCGGTGCAGTCCGGCACGAAGATCGCAGCTCGGCTTCTTACTTCTTTGGCTTTTGGGATCCTGTTCGAAGAGCTGTCCGGGCAGCGGAAGTGGTCAGGTCGTGCTTGGAAGTGCAGGGGTTTTCTCCACGTCGGCGTGCTTGCAACCTGCACCCAAAACCCTGAAGCCCTGAACCGAGAACCAGGCTGCCAACTTCTGGGTGCATCCTTTTGAATACCGAGCCTGGGTTGAAATTGGGTTGAAGGATTAGGGCTTGTGGGAGTTGACGTTTAGGTCCTTGGCTTTGGGCTTAAACTTTGTAATGCTGCTGAGTTGCTGGTTCTTGGCCATAACTGCACGAAGCACCCATCTCTACCAGCTGCCATCTGCTCTCTTGCTGTTCAGGTGCTGCCGAGAGGTACTGCCCTTCGTGAGGCGGTGTGCAATCGAGCGCGAGGCAATTGCTGGTCCTTGGGGGTTCCACCTACGTCGTGGCATGAGTCTTAACCAAGTCCGCTTTATACAGGGATCCTTGCAAATAGAGGCGCTTCAATCGAGCAGGTGGTGGCAGATGGTGGAAGTTTTTTTCAGGGCCGCTCTCGTCTTGGGTATCCTCGATCTTAGGCAGCGTGTACATAGCGCATCTCGGCTGCACCAGACAAAGTGCTGTGCTCGTCTGCCGTTGATCGTGCATGGACCATCGCTTCTTGGAGAAAAGTTGTGCTTCTCCGAAATCCTTCCAGAAGAACGCCCTGTGATTTTTACTGTACTCAGATGATTCGGGATTTGGACTGGTGCTCCAGAATCAATGCATGACCCGGGCGCAAGACGGACCTCCTGTCTCCTGCCTTCCCCTGGTCTTCACACCCAGCGCAGGAAGGCGATTGACACATCATCGTAGGGTTTTTCGGGTCGCCGCATTGAACTTCTCACAAAGCCCGACCTAGGTCCCTCAGAGCGTGGTCCTGTCCTGCGACTCCCCGGCGTGTCTCCAGCTCAGTTTTGGTGTTGCTCCGCTTCGTGGGCTTTGGTTGTCCATTCGATTGCCTCAGGCAGGAGAGCCGGGTTTTGATAAACCCTAAACCCTAAAATCCTAAACCCTAACCCTATTGGGTATGAGATTTTAATCACTTGAGCCACAGAATCGGCGCAATTCCCCTTCAGGCCATGCTGTCGCCCTGGTCTCTGCACCTTGGGAGGGGCAGCGAAACGTTCTCGAGATCGCCGGGGGGCCTAAGACATGAAAAGGTCTTTCTCTAAGGGCTTTAGGAGGGACCCTTAATAGGGACCCTTGTAGGTTATTTAAGGTAATGAGATTAAGGGTCCCTATTAGGGGTCCTTCCTAAAGTCCTTAGAGTTTCTCTCACAGGCACAGAGAATCACAGGTGTCCGCGTCGCTTATTCGAACCGTTCCGTCAGCGCACAGGTGCTTCCTCCGAACATGGACAAGATCACTGACACGGCGGGAACACGAGAGGGTTGTTCCAACTTAGGTCCACTTCTTATCTTTCGGTCCACCCCTCGTCTTGTCCAGAAGTTTCCCCAGTTCTAAGACTCTACGCAAATTCAGATAGGCCTGAACCATTCTGAACCTTTATTGAACCGTTTCTTCAGCAGCAGCTGACTTGTGAGGAGTTAGCAGTCCCCAGACAGATCTTCCTTGTCGCTACAAATTTGATTTCATTTGATGCAGCCCTTGTCGCGCAGTAAAGCGTTTCACTCAGACCATGCGTAGTATGTTGTCGGTTATATGTCGGTATATCCTCAGAACCCTAAACCCTACCTTAAACCAAACCCTACTATTTTTGTAGGTTCTTATTATAAACCCAAATATAGAATTCATAGGGACCCTACAGAAAAGTCGGTTTTGGTAGGTTAAGGTAAACCCGGCATGTCCTCAGAACCCTATACTAAACCCTTCAACCCTAAACCCCCAAAATATAAACCCTAAACCCTAAAATATAAACCCTAAGCCCTAAAATATAAACCCTAAACCTTAAAATATAAACCCTAAACCCGGTATGTCCTCAGGAGGCCTGAGAGTGGTGTGGGTGCACGCAGGTGATGCACACCATCGTCCTCAGCGGCAGGGAGCCCAGCAGCTTCGAGTTTAAGCTGCAGCCTGGCATAATATAGGGGCCGTAATAATTACCAATACTATATGGGGGGTTCCTTGTTTTCATTATAGTATATACCAATACTATTTGGGGGTTCCTTGTTATAACTATAGTATATACCAGTACTCTTTGGGGGCTTGATATACGATACTTGTAGTATAATGAGCCCCAAAACCCTGTTCTAATTGTTAAGGCCCCTGTATTAGCTATTCAGCACGAAGCATAGGATGCCCAGCTGCAGGCTCTACGTTTGCGCTGCCAGCTGGCGGATTCATGTCCGGAGCCCGTTCTCCAACTTTGATACCCCAAGCCCCAGGGGGTTGGGCATCGGACATGGGGTTTAGGGTTTAGGGCTTTAGGGTTTAGGTGTTACCGGGTGCCTTCTTTGGGAAGGGCGAGGTGCTTCAAGTCGACTGACGCAAAGGTTTGCTGGGTGTCCTTGTCGTCTCTGCCGCGAGTCCCTTTCATGAGCCTGCCTTTCTGCCCGAGCAAGACAGTAGGCGCAGCAGACAGGCATCAGTTGAGGGATAGTTGAGATGGACGGGGGAAGTACCTCCGACGCCATGCGCAAAGCCTTCGACGACCTGAAGGAGGTCTGCGTGTCGCTGCTGCAGGGTCAGACTGAGCAAAGAGCTCAGCTGCAGACCCTTCAGCGGGAGTCCGAATTTCAAGAGGAGAAGATTTCCAAGCTCCAACAGGAGCTGGCGGAATTGAAGCAGCTGGTGGCCAAGAAGACCTCAGCTCCAGCACCGGCAAGACCCGGTGCGTTTGTACGTGCTAGTGTGACTCCGATGCCGATCACTGGGAGAGAACAAGAAAGTGAGGCTAGTCTTGAGACCAAGATCTACCAAAATGGAGGCATCACTTTTAGCCGGGAGCATCTGATGTCTTGCCTGGACGCACCTTCTGGAAGCCTTTGCAACTTCGACATCAGAATGCTCCCGTGCTTGGATGAGCTGGCCCGCGATTTAGGCCGGCCAGAGCCAAGCAAGCAAAAGCAGAGTTCAAAGAGCTCTGAGACCAAGAAATCGGCCGGGTCGCAACAGTCCTGGTGCAAGTGGCACGGACAGTGGTGGTACTGGGCGGCTGGTGGCTGGAACAAGTGGGTCCCCAAGTAGCGGGGTCAGCATTCCAAGCGATGTGTGTTGCAACAAGCAACACGTGTCATTGCTGTTGGAACTGAATGTTTTGTTATGCACCGCCAATCTGTCTTGCAACAAGCAACACGTCTCCCTGCTGTTGGAGCTGAATGTCTTGTTACGCACCGCCCATCCGTGTTGCAACAAGCAACACGTGCCACTGCTGTTGGAACTGAACATCTTGTTATAAGCACCGCCCGCGTTCTGACAAAAAACAATGGCATGGAGGTCTCCGTGGACAGTAGAGAGCAAACTCCATGCGAGACGGGACTGTAGTCATCCCTTTTCCGTCGTCGTCGATAGGCGATAGGGATAGGCTTTTTTGGGGCTTGATCGTTCTTTTGAGCCTGTTGTACCAACCTTGAACCCGAACTTAAACCCCACATAATCCTGAGAAGTACTTGTTAACCCGATGGTGCTTTCGCAGTGTACATACATCCTCAAACTGTACGCCGATCTGGGTACATGACCTGTATCCCTCTGCAACCTAGGACCCCTTCAACCCTAACCCCCCCCCCGGTAGACCTCAAGTCCTTAAATCCGTAAAGGAAAGCTAGACTCACTCGCTAGAACGGCCCTCGAGCTGCCAGGACCTACTTGTCGGATAAGGCCCCAACCCCAACAATATTTGATTTTCATCATGAAGTTTTGCATTTGTTTTTTTTGTGGAGGGTGCCTATACAAACAATAAATTTCAGGATTCTGTGCGTTTTTCTTCAATGGACAGGCCATGCAAGTCTGTTGTGCTGGGGGCCCCAACAACCCTCAACCCTAAACCCTCAACCCTAAACCCTAAACCCTAAACCCTTACCCCGGTTTTTTTCGGGGTTCCGAGGCCTTCGCGGCTCTCGGCGGAGCTCGTCGCACCTGGCACGGAAGCCGCGGCTGAGAGGCCAGAAGCCTTGAGAGGGTTTTGGGTTTCGGGTTTTCAGGTTTAGAGTGGTTTGGATTGGGGGCAGTGGGGGTCGCAAGGCTGTTGATTGAGGAGGGCTTATAGAGTTCTGCTTGCAGAAGCCGATTCCGTCAGGTTCTGTAGGATTGTTGAACACGGTCGGGCTCTCGTGGATTGAAATGCTATGGTGGCTACGGTATGGTCTTGCGCAGGGCCACAGCCAGAGCTGCCCCTTTTCGGTTCGGAAAGTGCGTCTAAAGGTCAGGACTTGGCGTTTAGATCTTCTTCTTTTGCCAGCTCAAGCCTCGGAGGAGGGCTCAGGGTGATGACGATTGCCCTTTCTGTGGATCTAGGGTCTGGGGCGTAGACTTCTGATTTGCTTTCCGGCCGTTCTGTGCAAAAAGTCGGAGGCCTCTTGGTTTCTAAGTATTTTGCGTCGGAAGAACACTCATCGTCATCGTCGCTGTTGCTGTCACAGTCGTCGTCGTAGTAGTACTGCAGTAGTAGCAGTAGTGGAGGTGGTAGCAGCAGTCGTGGTAGTGGTAGCAGTAGCAGTACTAGTAGTGCAAGTAATACCGGTGGTGGTTGCTGCAGTCGTAGTGGTAGTGGTAGCTATGGGCTGTAGCAGAAGGCGAATTAAAATATCAAATGCTAATCTCGGAAAGCGTTCACACCGGCTTCCTGCCATCCTCTGGCCACGAGGCGTGTGTCCTACATGGAATCCGTGGGAGTCCTCCCCTACACAGCGCTGGCAGTGGTTCTGCTCTCAGACGGATCTGGATGCTGTGATATGGGGCTCCGTGAAGTTAGAGGCTCGTGTACTGTTGATCCTTACGATTCGGCTTCAGTGCTTAGGGCTCGATTCAAGGCTCCATGACTTTCTGAGACTCCCCTTTAGCAGAGAGGCTGGATGCAGGATATTCGGGTCTGTTGTAGAGGTCCTGGCCACAGTCCAGCCACCACGGATAGTATTTAGCTCTCCAAAAGCTGTACAGAGAGCCTCATCTGGTGCGGATGGCGATTTCAAGTCGAACTTGGCAAGCCGAAGCGAGACAAGCTCGAACACCAAATACGAGCGCTCGTAAAGACCTCGAAGCCTGCATGCCTTCAGCACCTTTCGCAGCTCCCCGATTCAAAAGATACGCACAGCACACCTTGGGCTCCCCGCACCCATCAGAATGCTGACCTCCCCCAACAAGAGGGGGCAATTTCGCTTCGAGCTGTTTGTCCACCTGCACCCTATCCGAGGCTATCTGAGCCGTGAAAGCAGCTCTCGATGCTTGATTTCAGAGTGTTGTTGTATCCTTGACATCGCATCAAACCGCAGCACCTCACAGCGGTGTGCTGTCGGACGTGAAGTCACTATTGAAGATCCATCGATTGGAGAACGCTGACCGAGACCGACACTGCTTCAAAGCATCGCTCACAGAATCGCCAGAATCTATAAACCCTAAACCCTAAACCCGTAGGTTACAGTGCGGAAGAGCTGACTAGACGAACCTGTGCGAGGTGGGTGGCGTTCTTGCCCGAGACGGTGCTGAGCGGCCGTTTGCTGGTGATGCTGCGATGCTCAGAGACATGTGCATTGATTGAGGCTTCAAGACTTAGGGTTAAATCTTGCAGTTTTCATTAGTTGTCCGTTGTCTTTGTGTTGTGCGACATCATGCAGCGCCAGATGTGTCAGGGTGCTGTTCTTTTGCAATTTGCTGCACCAGTGTGCTGCAGCTCGAGGCATAGTTCTGCTGCACAGCCTGCTGCAAAGACATCGGGAACGGAAAGAGATGGTAAGATAGTGTTCAGCATGTTCCCGCAAGTGTTATACTAGTTACTAGCAGTTTCCTGCCGTGGCTTCTGAGGTCTCGAATAGCATCTATTTCCGCTTCAAGCTGGGCTCAACGCTGCTGTCAGGCTTTGAACCCACCACCGGTGGAAACTTGTGCAGTCAGTGAAGAGAGTCCTGGCGTATCCTGGCGTTGCATCATCCTCCTGGTCCTGTCGTACTCTTCCTTGGCCTCCTCTCCGTCGTCCTCATCGTCTCCGTCTTCATCACCACGTATCGTCAGCCCATGTCATGCCCATTGACTACAGTAGCAGCAGCCTGTGTTGCTGTTGGTACCGTCTGCATGCCCATCATGACACCTCGACACTCGCGGAGCCTCACACCTCGGACCTCGGTCAAAACTTGTGTCAAAAACAGCGTCGGACTTTGTCGGTGCCTGACCATGCCCGGCTCAAGCCAGGCTTAGCTGCATCAGTCAAAACACCAAGATGAGCCTCAAAGCCAGCAGATTGCAATTCCTGGGGCTTGCCTGCCCCTCTCCAAGCATGATGAAATCCGGACATATCAATGAACAAGACAACCACACCAGAACCACTCGTCTGCCAGGAAGCCTTCTAGCTGCTTTGACGGTCCAGCTGCCTGGCCCTCGTTCTACCTACAGTCTCCATTGTAGTTCCTTTTTTTGGTTAACCAAATTTATATTAAAGGATCCTAACAAAAAAAGGAACTACAATGGAGACTATAGGTATGGCAAAAGTTGAAGCATCAGCTTGAGTCGGCAGCGGCCCTTCAATGTGTACCGGGTGCCGCACGTCTTTCCGTTTCTGGCTTGGAGCTGCAGCTGATTTTGCTGAGGCTGCATTCTGTTGCCGGTTGTGGTCATGTTTATGAACGCGTTTGCATTTTACAAGTACTTACTGCGTACGCATTGAGGCGTCTGCTATCATTGCATTGCAGCGAATTTTGCAAAGTGAAGTTTTCTTGCGGAGGGTTCCCTGTCGTGCCAAGGCCAGCAGGCTACATTGTCAGAAGTGCCAATGTCGTCCGGGCGCCAGTCGAGCGTTGAGTGCAAATTGAAGCAGGCACTTGCGCGGCAGACGCTCGACAATCCTTCGAGATTCATCTAGACAACGAACCCATTACCAGGGCCACGATGATGATTTTAATGTCTCTCGATGCAACTTCACAGCATGAAACACCGTAGCTTGCTGCTGAAACGACGGCGGGTAAATCAACGCGCCGGAACTTAAAGGTTCATCGTGTCATCTTCCACAGTATGCAGGCAAAGACCAGCATGCTGCCTGCAGAACTGCTGGTTCCTGCAATCTTCGATAGACAGCTTCAGCCGCTGATGCTGACATATCTCCTCGAGGCTCCCAGCGACTTGCTGACGCTCTCCTCACGCCGTCTGTCGGGGCCTGGATCTGAGACCGTTTTGAAAGCTCAAGCTATATAATATATTAAAGTATAATTGTACTATACTTTAATATACTATAGTACTCTGTGGCAAGGCGGCAAAAGGGGAATGACAGAGCACGTTTTCCCTGAAGAAGCAAGTCCGAAAACGACCCCAATCAAAGCAGCTGCACCCGTCGACCTCTTGAACCTGAAGCGCTAGGCCACTACGCTCTGCAAAGGTACAGAAAGGGGTATATGCGATGCTTGCATTTCCCATTTTTTACATATCAATGTGATTTACTGCATTTTCGACTAGTATTTCATATCATAGTATCATATTACATTACCTAAAGCTGCACCCAAGGCCCCAAATCCTAAAGTATACCAGCGCCACCGAAGTGTCACGGAACGGGGACAGGCCGCAGAGCCGCGGGCAGCTGACGGCGGGGACTTGGAGCTGTGCTACCAGGCCTGGGTGCAATGTAACATGCAGTACAGTATAGCTTACCGTATGATGTAGGAGAATATCGAACAATGTGAGCAAAATAGTGTAAAAACCAGTATAACATAGTAGACTATTATAAAGAAAAGCTCCTGCCTTCTATACGAACGCTGAGACTCGCTCTGTGATTTGTCTCTGCGTGCATCTGTTTGTCTTTTCATCCGTTTGTATTGCCCTCACTCGAGCCTTCGCTCACCCGCGGGACATGTTTTTCGTTCTCGCTCGCTCTCTCTCTCTCTCTCTCTCTCTCTTTTGCCATCGCCGTCTCCCTCTCCCTCTCCCTCGGGCTCCCTCTCTCTCTCTCTCATTGTCTCCGTCTCTCTTTGTTTGGTCAGGTGTCTCTCTGTTACTCCAGGTGTGTACGCATATTATGTACATATACAGTCGGATACACAAATCATGTCACATTTGTCACGACACAGTTGGCGGCATATCTCGTATTTGTAGAGGCACGGTCTTAGCTCACGAGTTTCGGAGAAGACACACCCGCAAGAGTAACAGACTTGATACAGCTGCTCAATCACGTGCTTCTGTACTTCAGGCAGACCGCGGTTTGATAAGCCTTAATTTAGGAACATACCTCAAATCATAATACTAAGGCCCCTATAACTTAAGGTATATTATGTATTGTCGGGAAGTCTAAGAGGCGGACCTTTGCATGGACTGTCAATAGATCGATAGGCGCGTGTCGCGACGCGATCTGTGAGTCTGTGCGTGACGGCGAGGACGTGTACCTTCACCATGGATAGCCATGCCGCTATCTACAGTGGCTACCTGGTGGTGCCTTGCTCGGGTGTGCTGTAACGGATAGATCGGGTAGGTTCCCCTCAAAGCAGGGCCCGGTTGTAGCTGCAGACGTTCAGGCTGAACGCAGCGCAGGGCATCAGCTATTTCTGCTAAGACCGCTTATGTCGGCGTGTTATGTGACGTAATGTAGAAACGACTCACACGCACACATGCATCAAACTACAGATGCAGACTTCTTTGGGTATGTGTCACCTTGTCTTCGACCTCCTTGAGCTCTCAGGTGCACTTTGTGGTGGACAACCCGACCATCCCCCTGCGGCTTCAGGACACGGCGAACCGACTCCCCGGCATCCTTGGGGCCTTGCCGGGATTGGGGCTGGTGGTCGTCGGAAAAAGTCGAGGTTTCGGATTTCAGATGATTTTAGGACGTCTGGTGACTCATATACAGTTCAGGGCTTCTTGGATTTAAGACGCTTGGGTTTTAGATACAGATTCAGGCCGAACGACCTCGGGAAAGGGGGACTCTGAGATGTTTGCTCTGTTTGTCTATGTAGTTGCAACATGCATGATGAAACTTGATGAAGCTTACTAGGCTTACTAGCTATAATCCCAAAGATACTCCTCGAAGAACTTTTGCGAACGAGCCAGGTTGGAGCGTAGCCGTCAGCGGCCAGGGTGATGCTGCGACGCTGGCGGTGCTGCCAGCAGCGATGTGTGGGACTCTGGATCGATGATGAGCGTACGGTAGCTTTAAAGGGTTTTTGTTCGACATTCAAGTCTACCTTAAGAACCCAAAACCCATTTTTTGGTAGGTTCCTACAAAAAAGTAGGTTTTGGGTTCTTAAGGTAAGCCTATAGTTACCTTGGGATCTTCCCCATCTCTGCAGGGTCTTCCCACCTGTCAGTACCCCCCAGCCCGAGCCTTCCCAGACCCTTTTGGTGCCAAATCTTAAGGGACCCTGGATTGAATCCACACTCCCACACTCCCAGGACCCAAGCCCAAGATCTTCGAGCCCCAAACAAGAAATTCCTCGGGCCCGAAGATCCCAAGAAGCCCTGGAAGTTCGCGAGATCCGAGCGCTTCGTTGCTCTGCACAGGCTGGATCCAGGATCGATCCCTTCGGAGCAGGTTCGCGGCAGCTGCATTACGGCTCTTTAACTTAACCCTAAACCCCTAGACCCTAACCCTAAACCGTAACCCTAAACCCTAACTAAAAGGGTTTCTTCAAAAGGATTCCAGGGTTGAGGGCCCTTGAGACTTCGAAGAGGGTTGGCTGGCAGGGTTTTAGAGCTTTTGGGGTTTCAGAACGAAGAATTTCGAGTTGCAGGGCTTCGGGTTTTGGAGCCTACAGCCTCTCAGACCTGTTCAGATTTTCTTGGTTGTCTTAGTCTTCTGCTGCCTCTCAGACCCGAGCCCTAAACCTTCAGCCATTATATGTTAGACAGTATCTAAGGATTAGTTTAGGGCTTACGACAGTATATAATTTATACCATAACATAGTATATAGTATATAGTATATAGTATATAGTATATATATATATATACACATTATATATATATATATGTATTATATTATACTATCGTAAGTCCTAAACTCAACCCTGAACAGTCTGGACAGGCTTTGTACACTCCGGCGTCTGCCCGGGGCCCCGGTAGCCCGGTGTGAGTGCATGTTGCTGGTACCATTACTGTTGCTACTATTTGCTATTCTTACTACTATCATTACCAATTCAATGTTCACATTATTATGATGACTACTATTTTCACATGTGTCACATTTTTTTGCTACTGTTGCTAGTTTAACTGCTGCGGCTACTGCTACAACAGCTACTACTACGACGACGACGAAGCTTAAATCTCTGTTGCTACTGCTATGTGCGATTGTAAGTACCACTGGCAGCCATGTCCGCAAACTGCCCTTTTGCCATTGTTGATCTTTTCTAGCTGGCAAGGTGGGATAATCTTCGACAACTCTGCTGAATTCCCCACCCATGAATAATATCGGGCCCTTGAACTACATGCCAGGTTTGATGTACACTAACTGAGAGCAGTCTTTTCTTGCCGTGCGCTGTGTGCAAAGACCTGCCCACCTCCGCCTCGAGCCCTCGCGAGTCCAGCTTGTCCTTTCGGAGGAGTTTGTTAGGGGCGTCTGTTTCGGTTTGTTAAGGGTTTGGTTAACAGAAGTCTAGGGTTTTGCTTTTTCCGATCTGATTTAGGCAAAGCGAGGTGTTGACTTGCTTACTTTGCTTGTGCACGACCTCCCAGGCAGTGCTCGGTCGCCTCTCCGAGATTAGCAGGGAAGCTCAGCAAAGGGTTTGATAGTTCTTGCCCGTGCCTTCGCAGGTGTTGCATGGCAGTCTTGTGGGGTGCGCTTGGTTTGAGCCCTTGTTTCTTGGTTATTGGCGAAGACTTTGTGGTGGGCCCAAGCACGCCCCAGCAGATTGGAGTAGCGGACCTGAATAAGCTGATGACGCCTTGCACGCGTGCGGCTTGCAAATACTGTGGCCAGAATGTTGGATTTTTTGGCCTGACAGGATTTGGGGTGACACGTCGGCGCCACGAAAGGCGGTGCCGAGCCAGACGTCCGGCATTCTCGGAGCTTCTGCCCAGAGTGGATCTCCAAAAAGATGTTGGAACGATGTCGGCCCAGGAGATGGGCGACATGCTGACGCTGACGGGAGCAGAGCTCAAGGCTCTGCTTCAGCAAGATGCGGCGACAAGGGAGGAGATTATGACCGCTGCGTTTGTGGCCTGGCGCCCTGGTGCCCATGAGGGTGCGCCCCTCCGTGTGGCAATGGTGGTCGGGCCGGGAGACAGCGCTGACACCGTCCAGGTGCCAGGGCAGGGCTAACAACGCACATCCGAAACCTTAATTGCTAATTGCTACTGTGCAAGTGCTTAGTGTACTTAGTACTTTCCATCGCTGATCGTGGTCGTTTGGGCAGGGTGGTTGATCTGGCAAATGTTTTTGAGCATCGTCGGGCCGCTGTTGCTTTCAGATGGCTTGCTGCACACGTGTCCGGAGTTTACCCACCGCTGATAGTGCTTTTCTTGATAGCACCAAAGATCTTTCCCGATGTCCTCTCTGTGCCATTGTTGAAAACGTGAGGGTTCATGACAGCGGAGTGTGACAGATCCGTGAAACCGGGCTGTGTTCAGTTCGAACAATCTTGAAGCTCGTCCGCAGAGGTGCAAGCTGAGGCACCTCGTTTGGGAGTCATGACCGCGATCCTGAGCGTGGACTGCCTTGACGAGGGCTTCCTGGAGGAGAAAGCCTGGGGTCGTGACGTTTCTATGATGGCAGGCTTTGACGACGTTGCGGCGGAGCGCTGCAGAACACTGCAGCATGTAGCCCGTCGCCTAGCGGTTGCAGGCCGTGGCGGCGGCTAAGTCGCTCAGCCACGCTCCCTGCGCTCAAATGGCATATATAATTGTATATGCCATTTGAGCGCAGAGATATACATTTCCATTGCCATGCTGTTGTTTCAGCTTGCTCTCCTGCCCACCCCGAGTCCTATGTAGCTCAGTGAACCTGCACGTTGCAATACTAACCCGACATCTTCAGGCTTCGAGCATTTTTTAAGTGGAAGTACGTGAAAGAGCGTGAAGACGCTAACCCTGCTTGTGGCTTCAAGCATGCTGCACGTTTGCCGAGATGGCAACAATTCAACTGGCTCGCGGGCAGTGCTAAAGGAATGCTTCTGTTCATCCATGAACAGTGAGCGCTGCAGGCGACATGCCGGGCCCAGTTTCGACCAAAGCAGAGATTCTCCATTCGCTGCGCGGACAGCCGAGACCATGCCTGCAAAGAGCATTGTGTTGGATGCATGCCTGCAATGCCTGCATGACGGCACGTCCGTTTGCACACATGTCACTCATATGCATGTGTATATGATCATGTAAACGTATATGCAGATGCAAATGTGTATGATCGTGTATGCATGTGTATGCTGTTTGTTCGGGTGCATGTTTACGAAAATGTTTACGTCGATGCCGATGCACGTATGCCTGTAGCTGTCAACCGTACAGTTGTCAACACAAGACGGCATGCATAATTACAGACATGCACACCATGCCATAGTGAAGATTGAACTGTACGCATGCTCGTGTTTCCGGCATCACACATGTCAAGATTCTAGAAGGTTTAATGGATGTGATCATGCATGCCCAAGTCAGGCCATGCAATTGTGTCGGGGCCCGCAAAATCACGAAGACCTTGCATCGGAGGTATACGGACCTGCACCCCTGCATCTATCAAACCTTAGTTGTGAGATCCCGGCGTTTATGTGGAGCCCGGAGCCCTAAGCCCCATAGGCCCATAGTCAGCAAGGCAGTGTATTTTTGTTGCCCTGTACGAGTCTCCTCGCCCAAGAGGTCTCACGCCGACGACCTTTTGGCAAGGCTCGACGAGAAGTCGGGAGCTCGAGGGCGCCATAATTTCATGCCGTGCTGCGATGCTGTGCCATGAAAGGCCGTAACAGCCACGGTGTATGTTTGTGCACATATCGCTGTGTAATCACGCTCTCGCCGCTACCTCTTTATTCATTCCTTTGTACATAGACTAATAGATCTACGCATGCATCCGTGCTAAACGCTGATCATCAGGCTGGGCCCGCATCTTCTTCCGGACGCAGCAGGGCTGGCCGGTCATCCTCTGCCTGTTTGGGGTCTTTGTTGGGTCCGTTAGCTGCTGTGTGGGCTTCGGGAGCTGTGATTCGATTAGGGCCATGTTTGGGTGGATGTTTCAGTTCAGGGTTTGAAGGAGGCAGTTACGGTAGTTGAGGTTTCAGTCTTTGTTATCACGCGGAATGCAGAGCTATCTTGGTTGGGTTTCGTGCCACGCCACGAATCACAGGTTTCGGTGTCGTTTCTTTAGTTCGTTGGCGTTTCGGAAGTGGTCCCCCGCTTGGGTGTCGAAGCTAATTTGTCTACTACTTACCGTCCTGATGCAGGCAGAACGGCAACCTCAAGTCCATAGACGCACAGCTTGCTCGCAGAATCTTTGCTTTGTCAGGGCCGGGTGGCTCTCCAGCTTACGGCACCTTCGAGTGGTTTCGGCTTTGACGCCAGATGTTCTGTGGAGGCTGCGCGGCAGGTGAAAGGGGATCATCTGTCAATGCATGCAGGATCAAAACTCACGTCCTCATTTTAGCAGCAAGCTACCTTTAGTAAGTACCTAGTATCATTGAATGAACCAGTTGAACTGCAAAGAAACACACCAAGACATGAGAACCGATGATCTAAGGAGATCCTGATGCAAGAGTTTCCAACTCTCAAGAATTCCAGGTTCCAACTCTGAAAGGTTCCAACCGGTATATCCTGGCAGTACCTCGTGAAAAAAATCTCCTGAATCCCTCCCCGCTGTGGGGGGATGCATACTCGGCATGATCTTGAAGAATTTGGAAAGCACCCCCGAATCCTCCCGAATACCGCCAGCACTTGCGGGAAAAGGATTCGGCCGTATGTCTAAAGCCGCCAGTACTTGTTGAATACCGGCAGGGCTTGGGGGAAGGCCACTCGGCATGACCTTGAATCCGCCAGTACTTGAGGGAAGAACTTTGGCCGTAATTCCGAATCCGCCAGTTACTTGATGATCGGCAGAGGGCCTGAGCTCTGGAGTGAAGGTTTAACTACGGGTCTTCGACATCTTTTCGCAGCACTTGGGGGAAAGTATACCACCCACACTTGGAGGAATGATTTCCACCGCTGTCGCGAATCCTCTTGAATACGTACCGGCGCGGGCCTCCTGGTACCGGAACACCTTGTCCTGCTGCCCTTCGGTAACGGACTCGACCACAGGTTGCTATACCAGAGATGGAAATGGGAGTTTCCCAAAAATCAGGGTACCTTATTTAGGGGGTCCTTATAATAAGGATCCGATTATTTAGGGTACTATATTAGGGTCTCCTATTTTCGGAAACTCCCCAAATGGAATGGGGAAGAATAGAGCAGGAACTTCGCATACAGAGCAAGTTGGAGCCTTAGCCAGGAGCCCCCACCAGCATGTGGCCGAAAGTTAGAGTTGGAGCTTGGGCCACAAGGGTCAAAAGCTCCTGGAACGGCGTTCCGACTCCCCGGCGTTCGCTGTTTCTTACTGTTGATATCTATCATCATCATCTCCATCCCGTGTTCCACTGCTTTCTTAGTTCCTAGACTTGAGCAGCTAAGCTCCCTCCGCCAATTGAAGGATCTGCCGGCAGCCTACTACCGCCCCGAGCAGAGCATCCTCGGTCAAAGTAGCAGCGCCTGGGCAGAAGCTTTCGGAGGGAGGCTCCGGAATTCGGCTGTTAGCTTTTGGGGTATTGTTGGGTTAGTGGTACAAAACTGGACTATGGTACACTATAGCTTTTTTCTAGATTATGCAGTTTTAAGTTATGTTTCACATGGTAGTTTTATACTATATTCGTTTTACGAGGTATTTTACTATATTGTACTATATTATATGACACTTTATAGGCATCGGTTCAGGGCTTGAAGGCTTGAGGCCTGCAGGAGTGTTGGTTTTGGGCGTGCAGGCGTATGGCTCGGATTGCGACGGGATCGTCTAGCAGAGCATTTAAGGTTTAGGGCTGATAGGGTTTAGGGTTTATAGGGCTGTGCATGGCCCCATCCAGAGTCTAGAACTTTTGGTCACAGGTGCCGAGCAAGGTGCCCAGCAAGCGACGGTGCGGCGGCTGCCGAAGGCACTTTCGTTCGCATAGGAGGCTTTTTGAGAACATTAGCGATTCTTGGGGGGGTCCTTACAGTAAGTATATGACAGCTTCCTGAACCCCAAATGACCTACCTTCTTAAGGACTTATACAAAGACATCATAATAAGGAACCCTAAAAAGGTAGGTTGTTTAGGGTCCAGGTTTGGTCTATACCAGCATCCTAAGCTTCAGCAGAAGTCGGACTTATCTCGTTCTCATAGATGCGTCCATGCTCGAGGTGGAGGCCTGCCAGGGCGTTCATGCGAGGCACCAAGTTTCAGGAAAGTGCGCGGCTCTTCGTTGCTTTGTGGTCCCGCAAGCTGTCGTATCGATTATGGAAACAAGGGCACTAGATGGTCCTAGGGGTGACCACAGTGGTCTTTGGGATGGTTGACAGCACTTCGGCTGTGAGAAGTTTCCACACGTCATGGCTCAGGTCTCCTCCCTGCAGCCGTCGGAGTCAAACTGGCTTTCGGACTGGGGGGTTCAGGGATCCTAATTAGTCGGATTTTGAGTGCTCTCAGTTAGCGGGGTTCCCAGAAAAAAAGCATGCGTCTGATCACCGCTGGGACCGGAAATGCGGGGGAGACTTTCGGGGCAGCACCCTCGGACGGATGATGCAAGGCTCCTAGGTAGCATCTGGGAGACTTCTTTATTAAAGGGGAGCCTTCTTCACCCTACTGGGGGCTCCTTTAAATATATCCTCCAGGGCCCTCCCCCGTTATCCTAAGTCCAGAAAGCCCAATAGTGGCTTTTCAGAGGAAGCGCCCGCACACACAACTAAGTCTCTCTCTCTCTCTCTCTCTCCGTCTCTCTCTCTCTCTCTTTATCACCGTGGTTTCGCAAGCCATCTTATTTTTGGCCGGGGTTCAGACACCATGTTGCTGTCAGAGGAGATTCAATGATATTTTGTAACATTCCTTGAGGTCTTCGTCTTCACACTCGAACCGAGAAGCTTCCAGATGTTGCTTTTCCCGGGTTCTTCACTGCATTGCTCCAAGCTTTCGTTCTCCTTTTCGGCCCGGGTCTTGCTGCATCTCGTGCACAGGACTTCTACGCACCTCCGGGCCGTCTGCCCTCCCTGATGGAGATCTTCGCCGCAGGCGCTGGGTCACGTTTCCAAAGACCCCACATTGACACCGGAACGGAGTAAACCACGCGGCAGACCGGAAATGCCAACGTAAGGCATAATCCTTATCATCAATATGTTGTTTCCTGGCAACCTCGTAGAGCGAGAGGGGAAATAGACAACAGAATTTCACATAGTTTATAATATAGTAGACTATATTGAAATAATTAGTTGTCCTCGTCTTGCACTGAAATGGCCTGCGGACTCACAGGTCCACTCCTTGAGGCCACTACCTATGCCTTCGCCATGCTGGTGCGCCACGGGAACTCTTTCCGAGCTTCCGAAGGCGAGGATGGTTGCAGTGTTTCGATTAGGGTTTAGGGTTTAGGGTTTAGGGTTTGGGGTTTAGGGTTTGGGGTTTAGGGTTTGGGGTGGTTTGGGGTTTGTTGTTTAGTGTTAGGGGTTTAGGGTTTAGGGTTTAGGGTTTAGGTTTCTTTGGAGTCGTGAGGGAGACATTGAATTCGGCACTGCGATACATAGAATTATCGTCTCGAGCCGACTGGTCCACAGGACCTTGAAGCAATCTCGATGAAGGGATTTCCTCGTGGCATCCCTGCCGAATCGCAGGTGCTGGCTTCGTACTCGCCACCTACATCCACACAGACTCTTGTCCGCCAGCGGCGGAAGTTGAACTGATTGCAGTGCAAAAAAGGTTCCAGGTTGAGGTTGAGACGGGTACTCACTGTGTCTCCAATGGGAGCTGGTGATGATACGTACTCATTGGCTCAGCTATGCATTCCAATTGCACAAGACCCGTTGCCCCACTCGTACTTTGGGCACACAGGCCTTGGTCACGTTCTGTGCTTTATCATAGGTCCGGCGCGATGTACCCCGACGCAAAATGTTGTCTTGAGGGTGTTGTTTCACTGCAAAACTTGTCGGTACACAGCCCCTGCCTGAAAGCCAGGAAGGCAACAATAGAGTTTACTGAACCATATACCTGTATGTTTGGATGCTTGACTTGGCCCTCAAGCCCTAAACTTAGCCCCAAACCCTAAAACAAAGCCGGATAGCTGAGGGAAAAGAGGGATTCAAACACAAAACCGAATCGCTTGTGTTGGAGTTCTTGTTCGTGGGCTCTCCCAGGAGACTTCCTGGCAGCTCCTCGACCGGAGCCCCGGGGCGATGCCGCTGCTGCCGGCGACCGCGGGCGAGTCATGGTCCGGCTATGGGCTCTACGAGCTGGCCCGGGGGGGCGGGGGATAGTCAAGCAGCGTAGTTACCATAATACTGTAATACTATCAACTATAGCTACAGCAACCATGATACTATCATCAACTATAGCTACAGCAACCATGATGGTTACAGTGATTGCTGCATTTACTTCAACTACTCTGGTCACCCAAGCGCTGCAGGCTCGTATTTCTCGATTACAAGTCCTACCAACATAGTAGTAGTAGTAGTAGTAGTAGTAGTAGTAGTAGTAGTAGTAGCGACTGTGTTTGTTGTGATGGCTTTTGTTGCGATGATTACTAGTGGGGCGTGGCACAGGAGCTTCACTGTTTGGGTTGGAGGGTTTGGGGGATCCTGTTCTCTGTCATGTATGTGTTTGTGGAGACAGACGTTAGTCTACTTAATTACGGTGATCTACCGTGTGCCTGTAAAGATTCGATGCTGTAACTTATGAGGTTTCATGGGCCATGGGCCATGGTAAGCGTGCAGGCCAATTGTCCTCCTAACAAGGGGAAGAACATTATAATTCGAAAAGGGTTTCGGGGTTCCTTTTAAAGGGTTCCTTAAAGGATTCCAGAAGTGATGACACTGGTGATGATGGCGATGCTGATGTTGAAGGTATGCGGATAGCAGTAGCACGTGTCAATGACATTCGAAGCAGAAGGGTTGTGAGGATAGTATAGTAGCACAGGGCTCAGCTTTCATGTAGGATTGTAGAATTTAGCAACAATGCAGCACCGACATTGACAAAAACGAATTACAACATCAACCGCAAGATGAGCCGCACAAGCCAGCATCGAGTTCGTTCTCACCACCAAGAGCAGCAACAGGAGCATCCTCATTGTCATCATAGAGCATCACCTCCAGCGGCAGCAGCCGCTGCAGACCGACAGCAGCCACTAGCACCAACACTGCCAACACCGGTACCCATGAAGTCACGACCAGCAGTGACCAGCATCGTCGTTATGCACAATCGTCAACATCGCCACCATCGACATGGTCATCGCCATCGCCACCATGATGACTAACATGATAATGATCGATAAGTTCTTGTTATTCACCATGATCTCCGTCCGTATCATCGCTTGCAGCAGCGTCAAGGTTCTACAGTTCCAGGTGTACTCCGGACTGCTTAAGCCTTAAGCCCCCTAATCAGCCCCTGTCAGGCTGCCCCGGATGCACTGCATGCCGTGGTCGTGCCTCGTTTGCCCTTTGCGCAGACGGCGCAGCCGGCGGAAGCGCAACTTGACCCGGGGAGATGGGGAAGGGTCAAAGGAACCACTAAAGGAACCGCTAGCACCAGTAGCAACAGCAACAGTTAAGAACAGCGCGTTTGTTCTTGTCATCAGAACTTTTGACATTTGCTGCCCGAGGGGGCGGGAAGGGAGGGGGGGGGGGTCAGCAGCAGCAGCAGCTCTCTGGATCCCACTAAAAACGCTGTGCAGCCCTGAGGTTCCCAATGAGTGACAGCTTTCTTGAGTTCGGAGTCTATGGTCACAGAATTGTCGATACTTCCCGGTTCTTCACAGTGCAATGCCTGTCCGTGCAAGACGTTTTGATTGAGATCTCAAGCCTGATATTTGGCGGGGCATTGCAGAGCATGGTGTAGCCCAATAGGGTTCGGTTGACTGTAGAGACCGGACGTGACTATCTCCTTGTCTGCCGCAAGCATAAGAGCACAGCAGCATAGTAATCACGACTGTATACCGTGGCATAATGCAGCTAGCACTGCCCTACGCGAGGTTGAAGAGCGATACCCGATACCCTCAAACTGGTAGGTTTACTATCCACTGACAGATGCAAGCATGCAGTGATTTTCTTTATGTTGGCCTGGCCAGGCAGATGCAAAATCGATAGAAAGACGGTCTAGTCATGGCAGCCACTGCGCGGATCGAAGAAGATCTTTCGCAGAACCGTTTCTTGCAGGTGCTCCGTGCCAGCTTTGAAGGCATATACCGGCAGGCCGCTAAGGGAGGAGAGAAGACGGTGGTGCTGGTTCCTTGCGCAGACTGCCTGGAGGTTGAGCACTTTGCACAGAACTTTGCAGAAACCCATCTCCTGCACGCGACATGTGTTCCTGGCTGCTACATGAACCTTCTTGGACAAGGTGTTGAGATCAAGGACAGCAGCGTGTCGACTCGTCTCGGCTTTCCTGAGCAACGCGTCTGTGAGGTCTTGCAGAGCGAGTCGATGTACGATGTGGGCAACACTTTCCGGGTTCTCGTGATTGACAAGCCGCTGATTGGCCGTCACCGCCCACTGCCGGGTGCAGCCGACCGTGCCAAAGCGACAGCTGAGACATCTGAGCTGTCCGTAGATGACATGCTACTGCAGGCTCCGATGATTCAGGGCGATTTCTTCGACGAAGTGGACCGCTTCCGAAAGACTTTCGTGCAGGTTGCGGGCTGCGAGGGTCGCACGGCGGAGAGGATTCGCGAGATCGTGAACGGCGCGGTGCAACGCCTCGGCCGGCATCACAAGCTGACGTCCTCCTCGCAGCTGCGACAGCTTGAGTTCACGGTGAGTCGTCAGGCCTACACGGCATTGCACTCCTTCGTCTTCCCCCATTTGCAACAGATCCTTTCAACCCACGAAGAGCGGCTGCAGAAAGCCATCCGGTCCTACGGCTCCGTGGAGGACGTGGTGGAAGCCATCCCAGGTGGCGGTCAAGGCCTCGCCTTTGTAGATATCTCCGAGGCGGCGAAAGAGCTGGAGCTCATGGATGGCAAGATCGCCCCTCACGAGCATCTCGGAGGGAAGGCCCTAAGCCTTCACATGTTGATGCATACGTATGGCGCAGATGTCGTGCCGGTTTCACAAGTAAGGAGGTGAATATATGTATATATAAGATCTTGTTGAATTTACATACATCTTGTGTGTATATGTAACTATGTATACAGCATGTGTGTGGGTGTATCTGTATAAATAGGTAGGTAGGTAGGTAGGTAGGTAGGTAGGTAGGTAGGTAGGCAGGCAGGCAGGCAGGTAGGCAGGTAGGCAGGTAGGCAGGTAGGCAGGTAGCCAGGTAGCCAGGTAGGCAGGTAGGCAGGTAGGCAGGTAGGTAGGCAGGTAGGCAGGTAGGCAGGTAGGCAGGTAGGCAGATAGGCAGGTAGGTCGGTAGGTAGGTCGGGTATGTATGCTCAATGTACATGCCCCTGCATCATTGCGCGCATGAGTAAGTGGGTAGGCAGGAAGGCAGGCAGGCAGTCATGCAGGTAGGTCGGTCGTTTGTCGTAGGTAGGTAGGCAGGTAGGTAGGTAGGTAGGCAGGTAGGTAGGTGGGTACGTGTGTTCTACACATGTCGAAACATGTACACAGATGTGGTGTGTTGCAGTTTAGTAGATCGATTGTAAAATATCTATGTCTAGTGCATGTAGCATATATAGACGTCATCGGATACACATGCACACTGCATGTTTAATCTGCACACACACACACATTCAGAAACAGAACAGAGACGGTTTTCGTAAGGAAGGTCGAGTGCATCGACAAGGCCCACAGCTCACTCCAGCGCTGCATCGCCGACTGCCTACAGGAGTCTCCAATACCCGCGGCTCCAATCGAAATCACAGGCGACGATGTGCTGTCCTTGCCCTTTGCCTGATCTTGGCCCTAAATCCTCAACCTGATATGGGGATTATGGGGGTTTGGGTTCAGGAACCTGGGCCCTGAACCCTCAAGCCCTTGCCTGACATGAGGTTATGAGTGTTTTGGTCTTTGCCCTTTGCCTGATATGGGGTTGAGGGTTCAGGGCGGGGATTGTGGCCAAGGGGTTAAATCCACTGTTTGGGCTCTTTGAGGGTTTTGGGCCTGATCTCGCGGTGTGATCATCTACAGTATACCTTATACAGGAGGCAGAGTTCTTCTCGGGCGGACTTTCAAAGACAGTCCTGGCTTGTCTTCATAAACCGGGGTTCTTTCGAACTTGATGCTTGCTTTGCATGCATGGTGTGTGAGCGTGCATGTGTGTGTGTGTGTGAGCATGTGTGTGTGTGTGTGTGTCCGTGTGTGCGTGTGTGTGTGTGTCTGTCTGTGTCTGTCTGTGTCTCTGTGTGTCTGTGTGTATGTTGCATGCATGTATATTGTATATGCGTTGTATATCTGTATGTATGCATGTATGTAGGTATGCATGTATGCAGGCATGCATGCATGCACGCAC